GTAACCTCGTTTGGATCAAAGATCTCACACCTGACGTGACGCGAAAAGTAAAAAGGAATTGCTGAGCGAAAGAACACTCCCCACTACCTCTGCAAATTGTATTTTCTCAGCGATCCGTCTGAGTGAGCGAAATCCGTTCGATTGCAAACTCCAGTTATTTGTTGACTTCGATGAAGTATTACAGTAATATGGTGACAATCTCTGGCTTTCAGACAGCGAAACAACTGACTACGTCAGCTCAATCACCTAAGCTACATGCGAGACGATCAACTGACTGTGCTTTCTCCCGACGAATCGGAAAACGCTCAGCTGTAGAGTTTCGTGCGAGCGAGCACAAAATAACCATTAGAGTATGTACTGGTTGGGAATCCCTGACGACATGCCGCAATGTGAGACAACTAGCTAAAAAACGCAGCGCACTGTCGGAAGGAGTGAATCGGAGCGTTCATGCCTTTGCTGGGATTCAAGCTGAAAAAGGTATATCATCAAGTTTTCCGATTTCTGCACTAATCCACCACAGCCCTCTGTAAGTCTGCTTCTTGCTCTAGTATGTTACCAATTTTTTTTTCTCAACATTCTTTTCTGCTCCATTCCCACTTTGCCGTAGCCGGACCACCAGGACATTGGACCCATCGGAGTCGCAGTTTGATTACTTGCTTGTAAAACAAACAAAAACTGATCATCGGAACCTACTAGAATGTCGATTTTTCCAAACTGCTCGATAGTAGCATCGATGATCTTCTTCTGAATGACTTCATCAATCAAATCTCCCTGTACAGCCACGATATCATCCTTCTTTGCGCCCACAGCTTGCATTTCTTTTCGTGTTTCCTAAAAAGAGGTAATGGTCGAGATCGAGCTCCAGTATTGAAGACTATTATTCATTATCAGTTTTATGCCAGCCTACCGCAAGTGCTTTGTCATCTCGCCCTGTAATCGTGACTTTCGCACCCTCTTCGGCGAAAAGCACTGCTGTTGCCCGTCCGATACCGTTGCTCGAGCCTTAAGAGTAGACTTAAGCAAAGTCTCGTCTCAACTGGGCCATAGTTTTTACCTGTTACAATTACTACTTTGCCCTCGAAACGTCCAACCATTTTCTCTAAAAATACCACGTGAATAGCGATGGGTAGAGCGTGCGAAGTAGTACTTTCTATCGAAATTCATTTTTCCATATTATTTTACAAAAGACTTTGGGCCAAGAAAAATTTAGTAACAACACAGAGGTGTCTGTACGAACTCCAATCGACCTGTGAAGGGGAATAAACAGGAAAAATCATCAAGAGTACTTTGAGGATATGTACACTTCGATATATGGGCTTGCGGTCTCCCTTCGCGAAATCGACCACATTCTCTCAGCTCTTAGAAGGACACGCTAAAGAGAAAAGCAAGGCCGAGTGTGACGAATGGAAGTGTGGCGAGACAACTAATTAAAACATGCTATGCTCTGAGGCAACTAGCAAAGTGTAAAATTCGTCTGAAGCATAAACTTGTCGCGTCGAAAAGACAACTGGGAGGAATGGTAGCATCAGGTCAGTTCAGTCATGAGAGCATCAGGTCAGTTCAGTCATGGGAGCCATGGAGAGACCCATATCCTAGCCCAATAGATTCTTCGAGCAAAGCAAGCGTAGGCGATTGATGAGCTGGAGTTGTGATGACATTACTACACCTTTCTTGCATAGCATATAGAGTTAACAATTCCGCGAGTTTCTTGCTTGGTATTTTCCCTTTTAAGATTTCTTTTCAAGGAAATGTACGAGGGTATAGAGTGAGAGGCTTTGAAAAACATGTTTCTTTGAAGTAGATTTATCATAGATCATGAATTCAGTGGATGTGACCGTGAAAGTTTTTTGGTTTCAAAATCATTAAACAAGAATGTACACATAATTAATACGTCTGCTTAATTAGCTCCTCACTGAATAATAGAAGAGCTCTGCCGCAAACAGTTACCCCAGTTAAAAACTTAACATTCAGAGGAAGAAACGGTGAATGGCACGATTTATCAGAATATGAGCTTCAAAACGTGCGATTAGTTGGCCTCTGCACTGATAAGCATGAGTCCATGCTCGACTAGTGTCGATAAGCTGTAACTTGTGCCTTGTAACTTTGAACCCTTTCAGTTTCATCACCTGTCGAACTGTTGATCAACTGTTCCTTAGAGTCCCTCGGGAAACATTTTTATTTGTCGTTGTGGCAAATCCAATGAGGCAGTCCAGTGAGCTCTTCTTTCTTCTTCTGATGACGGCTTCCATCTGACCACCGGGCTGCCAAATACACTAATCTTTGCTTGACGTACAAAGACCCAGCCGATGAATCTTCTGGTCGAGCATTACAGCATTACAAATTTGCATGAAGTGTACGGCGCATCTCACGACCCGGATTCCTCCAACTATCGATTCTTCGTGAAGGCCTTAAAGAAGCACTTAGGGTAGAAGAAAAGTTTTCTTAGGGTAGAAGAAAAGAAAGAAGAAGAAGAAAGAAGAAGAGTAGCAAAAGGACGAGAGTGAAAGGTTGCTTCAAGCACAACCTTCTCTACCCAAATTTCTTCAGTGTCGTACGTGCCACTTGTTTCCTACTATTCATAGCACTAGCCCATCAGACTACGTATAAACGGGGCATCCCTGAAAGAGAGGATTTGCTCTGAAAATGGTCATGTAACAAGAACCAAATTTCTTGATATCTGTTCATATGCATTTAAGGGGTTTGGCATAACTGAAAACCAGAGTGACCCTTCACGCTGTGAAATTTTGTCTACCAACGACGAGCTATTTCTCATGGGAAAGTCAAACAGGAAGAAGCATCGGATTGCAGGGACTCAAAATCTATGGTCTGGAACCATTCATAGACCTACCTTTTATGTATGACTTCTGCTTAAAGGCAGTGTTAACAAAAAAGTTAGGGTACCTTTTTTTT